GCCACCTCCTTCACCTCGTGGAAGTTGATGGTCTCGATCTTCTCCATGCTCTCCTCGAGGTCCGTTTCAGAGTACAGCATGTCGTCTGCCGAGATGTTACTGCAGCAAACAGCAAAAGGCCAAGTCACTACACCTCACCTTTAATGTAGTCCTACCTCACCTTTAATGTAGTCCTATATGACATTAACGTAGTCCTATATGACTTTAACGTAATCCTACCACACCTTTAATGTAGTCCTATATGACTTTAACGTAGTCCTACCACACCTTTAATGTAGTCCTAACTCACATTCAACATAGTTCTACCTCACCTTTAACGTAGTCCTACCACACCTTTAATGCAGTCCTAACTCATATTTAACGTAGTCCTACCTCACCTTTAATGTAGTCCTATATGACTTTAATGTAGTCCTACCTCACCTTTAACGTAGTCCTACCTCACCTTTAACGTAGTCCTACCTCACCTTTAATGTAGTCCTACCTGACTTTGACGTAGTCCTACCTCACCTTTAACGTAGTCCTACCTCACCTTTAACGTAGTCCTACCTCATCTGTAACGTAGTCCTACCTCATCTGTAACGTAGTCCTACCTCACCTTTAACATAGTCCTACCTCATCTTTAACGTAGTCCTACCTCATCTGTAACGTAGTCCTACCTCACCTTTAACGTAGTCCTACCTCATCTGTAACGTAGTCCTACCTCACCTTTAACATAGTCCTACCTCATCTTTAACGTAGTCCTACCTCATCTGTAACGTAGTCCTACCTCACCTTTAACGTAGTCCTACCTCACCTTTAACACAGTCCTACCTCACCTTTAACACAGTCCTACCTCACCTTTAACACAGTCCTACCTCACCTTTAACACAGTCCTACCACACTTTTAATGTAGTCCTATATGACTTTAACGTAGTCCTACCTCACCTTTAATGTAGTCCTACCTCACCTTTAACGTAGTCCTACCTCACCTTTAACGTAGTCCTACCTCACCTTTAACGTAGTCCTACCTCACCTTTAACGTAGTCCTACCTCACCTTTAACACAGTCCTACCTCACCTTTAACACAGTCCTACCTCATATGTAACGTAGTCCTACCTCACCTTTAACGTAGTCCTACCACACTTTTAATGTAGTCCTATATGACTTTAACGTAGTCCTACCTCACCTTTAATGTAGTCCTACCTCACCTTTAATGTAGTCCTACCTCACCTTTAACGTAGTCCTACCTCACCTTTAACGTAGTCCTACCTCACCTTTAACATAGTCCTACCTCATCTGTAACGTAGTCCTACCTCATCTGTAACGTAGTCCTACCTCACCTTTAACATAGTCCTACCTCATCTGTAACGTAGTCCTACCTCATCTGTAACGTAGTCCTACCTCACCTTTAACATAGTCCTACCTCATCTTTAACGTAGTCCTACCTCACCTTTAACACAGTCCTACCTCACCTTTAACACAGTCCTACCTCACCTTTAACACAGTCCTACCTCACCTTTAACACAGTCCTACCTCATCTTTAACGTAGTCCTATATGACTTTAATGTAGTCCTACCTCATATGTAACGTAGTCCTACCTCACCTTTAACGTAGTCCTACCTCACCTTTAACGTAGTCCTACCTCACCTTTAACGTAGTCCTACCTCATCTGTAACGTAGTCCTACCTCACCTTTAACGTAGTCCTACCTCATCTGTAACGTAGTCCTACCTCACCTTTAACATAGTCCTACCTCATCTTTAACGTAGTCCTACCTCACCTTTAACACAGTCCTACCTCATCTGTAACGTAGTCCTACCTGACTTTGACGTAGTCGGACAGCAGCCAGCGGTAGATGGCCTTGGTGGCGTGGGTCATGAAGGTCCGTCCTTTAAAGCTGGTCTTCTGCAGGAACCAGGGCAGAGCTCCACAGTGATCCAGGTGGAAGCTAAAGGGGCGGGGCAGGTCGGTCACCACGTCTTCATCTTTACACAAACATCAAACGTGAACAATCAGATTCTTCTGGACTCACTGACTGATGAGCAGCAGGTCGATTTCTGCCGGATCGATCAGGTCGATGTACGGCAGAGCGTCCATTCCCTCCAGACCGGGATGGATCCCGCAGTCCAGCTGAAACACAACAATCACAAGTTTGAACGCTGTCAGGCGCCGCAGCAGACCGCGAGGACGATCAGGTCTGATAGGAGGAAACTCACCATGATCTTTCTTCCTTTGAACTCCAGGATGATGCAGGATCGTCCCACTTCCTGTCCCGCCCCCCTGGAAACAAACACATAGAGACAAACATTCATTGTCTGTCTGTCTGTCTGTCTGTCATTACCTTCTGCTTTATCACAACAGGGGTTCAGGTCTGGACTCTGGGAGAGTCGGGGTTCAGGTCTGGACTCTAGGAGAGTCGGGGTTCAGGTCTGGACTCTGGGAGAGTCGGGGTTCAGGTCTGGGTTCAGGTCTGGACTCTGGGAGAGTCGGGGTTCAGGTCTGGGTTCAGGTCTGGACTCTGGGAGAGTCGGGGTTCAGGTCTGGACTCTGGGAGAGTCGGGGTTCAGGTCTGGGTTCAGGTCTGGACTCTGGGAGAGTCGGGGTTCAGGTCTGGACTCTGGGAGAGTCGGGGTTCAGGTCTGGGTTCAGGTCTGGACTCTAGGAGAGTCGGGGTTCAGGTCTGGGTTCAGGTCTGGACTCTGGGAGAGTCGGGGTTCAGGTCTGGACTCTAGGAGAGTCGAGGTTCAGGTCTGGACTCTGGGAGAGTCGGGGTTCAGGTCTGGACTCTGGGAGAGTCGGGGTTCAGGTCTGGGTTCAGGTCTGGACTCTGGGAGAGTCGGGGTTCAGGTCTGGACTCTGGGAGAGTCGGGGTTCAGGTCTGGACTCTAGGAGAGTCGGGGTTCAGGTCTGGGTTCAGGTCTGGACTCTGGGAGAGTCGGGGTTCAGGTCTGGACTCTGTCACCAGGGTTCATTGAAGTATTAACATATTAAACAGACTCTTTAAACATCGACAGAACAGAAGTTTGAAGTTCCAGATCCTAAAATAAGAATAAATAAAGTGATTTGTTGTAAATGATTGTAATCCGAAGTGATGGATGTTCTCTACAGATTTAATTTAAGTCATAAAAAGTTAAGCCTTAAACGGTTTGTTTGTTGTTTTAAACAGAAACAGTTAAACTTGATGTTTTATGAACGGGGTTTGGTGGGAGACAACATGGCGGACATGTTGGAAGAAAAGAAGATTAAAGTGTTTTTTTTACTCACAGCGGGCGAATCAGCAGCTGGTCACTTTCCTCCGCGGGAACCGTGACGTCAGATTTACGTTTAGTTGTCATGGTTACTTTAATAAATCCACAAATCTTCACAAAAACACAAAAATATTACTTCATTCTTCAGCTGCAGCGCGCGGAGCCGAAAGTTTGGTTGCTGCGTCACTTCCGGTCCTGCTGAAATCTCTCCGTGTGGTACAGCGAAGAACAACAAAGGTTCCGCTGCCAGAAGAGGGCGTGGCGATATTCAGTGTGTAGGTACGTTGGAATTGTCCCTCCTATCTCCTTTCACTATCCACTTCACCTTTAACCCCGGAAGCATTTAAGAGGCGGCCATGATAAGAGCCGTCATATTTATGTTGATGTTGATTTCTGATTGGACAGGAAGCTGATGGTTTCACTTTTCTTACTTGTAGCCTGGTCGTCTATTTTTCTTTAATTTCAGGATTATTTCACCGGTAAGAAGCACAGGGGAAAGTTTTTAGATGATCTTTTTGTAGTCCATTTTCTGAACATTGTAGTTTCAACACAGCAGACCCACGTCATTAACCTCCGCCGGCCCGTCACATTTAATGACGTGGCCTAGTGGAAATGTGGTCGGATTGTCAGAGCAACGAGATCTCCTTTCCTTAAGTCCTTTATGACTTCTCCTAACATCTTCCCTTGACCTCATGACCTTTTCCCCGGGTTAAGGTGAAGTGGATAGTGAAGGAGACAGGAGGGACAATTCCAACACACCCTGTGTCCTCTTCTATGCTGCACAGCTGGACAGACTGGTGAGGAAGGCTGGCTCGGTGGTGGGCTCAGAGAAGGACCCTGCACCCTCCACCCTGCACTCTCCACCCTCCACCCTGCACCCTGCACTCTCCACCCTCCACCCTCCACCTTTAAAGTTCCTCTGAGACTGTTTTGACTACTTTTTAAACTCTCAGGAGGTCTTCACTGTTCATGTTCAGGTCTACGTTACCGCTCTTCTTCTTTTAAACTGTTAACAAGTTTTGTTTAAATCTTCATCCCTGCACAGGTTTTCTAATAAAACGAGTAGAAGTCTATTTCCTAATAGCACGTTTAATTTTGCTTCATGTAAGGGCTCCTTTAAATCTTTGTTGGGGTTAATATATAAATATGCGAGGGGGGTTAGAGTTCTACAACTCTACAATTCACTTAGCAGACTCTTTTATCCAAAGCGACGTACATCAGAGAGTAAGAACAACACAAGCAAGGATCTAGAAAAAAGGGAATAATGTGAGTAAGAGCAAACGATCAGCTTTGAGTCTGATTGGACACACAGGTGCTGACAGGAAGTGACCAGAGGCAAAGCACAACATTGAGGGCAGTTCTTGAGAGCTCTAATCAGTATAGAAACCATCTTATAAGTCGTCGTTATCAAACAAAAACCATCGTCATTACCATCATCATCATCAATAATATGGAGACAATCATCATTAAGTTAGTAGGTATTCATGAAAGAGCTGGGTCTTTAGCTTTTTCTTAAAGGTGCAAAGGGACTCTGCAGATCACATGGAGTTTGGAAGTTCATTCCACCACCGGGGGGCGACAGAGGAGAAGAGTCTAGTCAGAGACTTAGGACCCTGTTGTGAAGGTTGGACCAGACGCCTTTCATTGGCAGAGTGTAGTGGGCGGGAGGAACAAGAATTTGAAGAGACCTGCGTGGACCAGTGTGGACTAGCTGGATAATGAAGATCAAGTGATCAGCAGAATGAACAGAATAAAGAGAACGACACACTTCCTGTAGGAAAGGAACGTCCACATGTTTTTAATGGTGCACTAAAAGAAACATTTAACCTCCACACAAAGTTTCCCTTCAGCCAACAAAGATAGAAAAACGATTTCTCAAGTCGTAAAAACATTTAAAACAGAAACGAGTGTTTCTGTGACATCACCGTGACGTCTAACGGGTTAGTGTCCAGCAGGAAGTACACACTGCTTTCAGTCTTTTCTCCTGATGTCCAAACACCATGCTGCAGAGGTCCAGCACCGAGGCGGGGAGATCCAGTTCAGGTCAAAACCGGGAAATCAGTTTTTGTTTGTGTGCCGGACGATCGTTACTTCTGCTTTCAGATAATTTTCAAAATAAGAGTTTTTTATTCTGGATCATTTCAGGGTCTTTGATATTCAGGTCTTTGGTCTTTAGAATCCCTCCTGGACCGTCAGGTGAGGAGTATTTTTATTGAAGAACATCTGAGAGAAGTTTGTAGAAAGCTTTAAAGGAGGAACTCAAAGCAGCTTCAGTGTTTGTTTCTGCCCAGTTCAGGTTCTGGATTCAGGATCTAGGTTCAGAATTGAGGTTCAGAATTGAGGTTCAGGTCTCAGGTTCAGGATCTAGGTTCAGGTCTCAGGTTCAGGATCTAGGTTCAGGTCTCAGGTTCAGGATCTAGGTTCAGGTCTCAGGTTCAGGATCTAGGTTCAGAATTGAGGTTCAAGTCTCAGGTTCAGGATCTAGGTTCAGGTCTCAGGATCTGGGTTCAGCATCTGGGTTCAGGATCTAGGTTCAGGTCTCAGGATCTGGGTTCAGCATCTGGGTTCAGGATCTGGGTTCAGGATCTGGGTTCAGGATCTAGGTTCAGGTCTCAGGTTCAGGTCTCCGGTTCAGGTCTCCTGAGGACCCCGTTGAGTTCAGTCTGAGGGTTCAGGAAGGCGTCACTCTGTGATGAAGTGGACGAAGGTCACGGGGAACGCTCCTCTCCGGGTCGGATCTGCTTCAACGTACCCGACCTGAAACACAACGTCCATATTTATATTCATTATTAAAAGAAAACGTCTCTGTGACCCACTTCTGGGTCCTGACCCTCCAGTTGAGAACCTCTGACTTAACGTATAAAATAAAGTAAGTAGGTACAAACATGAGACGATTGTGTTTCAATATTACGTCAAAATAAACGGCATGTTGCCGTGACGATGCGTTCGGAGGCGGAGCTGTCACTCACCCACCAATCGCTGTCCTCCTCGCCCTCCACCACGATCACCTCGCCCTCGCTGAACGTCAGCTCATCAGGATTATCAGCTGAACAGTTGTAGATCGCCTTCACTCTCTTAGGCTTCTGTTTCTACACGCACACACACACACACACACACACACACACACACACCTTTATCTCAATTTGACCTTTGACCTCTGACCTCTGCGTTGTGTTGGAGGACTTACGGAGAACGTGTTCCTGGGTTTGGGTGTTGGAGGTCCATGAGGGGATTTGGACCCTGCAGAGAGAAACAAACACAACCACTTGTCACCTTTGCTCTTTGCTGACGGAGCGCCGTGATTGGTCGGCGGGCCGATTGGTGTGTGTGTGCGTTACCTCGTTTGTCCACAGAGGGGGTCCTGAGAGGAGGTCTCTGCGGAGGCCTCTTCGCTGATCTGAAAGCAGACAGAATGTGCATCCATTACAAACCAGTTCAGACCAGTACTAACTGGGAGAGACACAAACCCCCGTTACACTGCAGCGTGAAATACTCAAGCCAGATCGGACTCAATTTTCCCAGCGTGTGCGTCTGGCTTAATTAATAAGTAAGGACTCGTCCAGTCCAGTAAGATCCACTACAATCCACTACAGTTCTGTATGTGCAACCAAAGTCTAGTACGGTCTGAAGAAAGACTCAAAACAGCCCCGTACAGTCTACTGTCCCACTATGGTACAACCCGCTTCAATCAAACACAGGCCAGAACAGGGCACACTAAAGACCACTTAAGTCTAGTCAGTCCCATACTGCCCACTAAGGCCTACAAGAGTCCAATAAGGTGAACTACAGTCCAATCTCAGAACCCGTCTGTAATCCTCTACCTTCAGATTATCGTCAACGGGAGTCGGGTTAAGTTCCAGCTGCAACAAAATCCAGACCCCTGAGGGTACAGATTCTACACATTTCATGTGGAATCAGTAAATAGGGGTAAACAGCAGTCCATCACAGCCCACCAGAGACCAGAACAGCCAACAGCAGTCCATTACAGCCCACCAGAGAGCAGAACAGCCAACAGCAGTCCATTACAGCCCACCAGAGACCAGAACAGCCAACAGCAGTCCATTACAGCCCACCAGAGACCAGAGAGCAGAACAGCCAACAGCAGTCCATTACAGCCCACCAGAGAGCAGAACAGCCAACAGCAGTCCATTACAGCCCACCAGAGACCAGAACAGCCAACAGCAGTCCAATAAGGTTCCATCATGTAAATCCTTCAATATAGCCCACTACAGCCAAGCAGACTACAGTCCAAAATTGTCCAGTACAGTCTTCAACACTCTAGTACCCTTCAGTAGGGGCCAGTTAAGCCCAGTTCAGTCCAACACAGCCCATTACAGGCCAGTTAAGCCAAGTGTAGTCCACTCTGGTCCAGAGTACCTACCCAGTGGGGGATTTGGGGGACTTGGGTCCAGGTGGCTTGTTGGTCTGGTGACTGGGGACTGGTGGGGGAAGGGGTGGAGCTTTAAAGTGGGGGGGTGGTGGGATGGCGGGCGGTAACATCGCTGGGGGGAGTCCTGCTGCTGGAGGGAGGGGAGGGAGGGGAGGGAGGGGGGTGTTCCTGGCTGACAGGGTCTTGGTCTCCAACATGCTGGATCTCTTGTTTACTGGAGGAGCTGCTGGGAGAACTGGGAGGAGAGGAGATCCAGAAAACAATACTGAATTCAAAACTGAATGTGTTACAACATAAATCCTGTAAAGCACAAACTGACAGCGGCTGACCCACCATACATGGAGGAGTTCCTCTCAGGGGTCTGGGGGTTGGGGGGGTCCGAGGACGACCGCTGTCTACCTACTGTTTCCATGGCAGCAGGTTTACTGTGTCCTGAACCCGCAGGGAGGCAAACAGGGAGAAAACATGTTGATGAATGTGAAGTATAATAATTGATTTCAGAGTTTATTAAATAAAGATCGTTTAACGTCTAACTGGAGTTCTCTGTTTCTGTGTTTCAGTCCCTCGGGCGCTAAAGACGCCCTGGATCTGGTTCACCTCATCACCTCTGTTGGGCACTCTGGGGGGCAGCGGGGGTGTGGGTCCAAGAGGCGGCAGGTTCAGGTCCATCATGGTGCCGTAGGTCTCGTTGCTGACCATCATGCTGGGGACCTGAGGCCTCTGATTGGCCCGTGCCAGGAAGGCTGCGTCCCGAGCCAGCGCCGCCATGTTGGGCTGCATTGGACCGCTGCTCGCCACAAAGCAGCTGACCGGACGCTCATCACGCCGGTTGGGGATTGGCTGAAGAGACGGGACTGTTACACATCTAAAAACTTCTGACCTTTAACTTGTCCAACAGAAAGACACTCACCTTGTCCTCCATCTCGTCCTCGCTCTCGTCCAGGTCCTCGTTCTGGAGACGCCACTCATACTCCACGTGGACGTGGACATTAAACTTTCCTGTTTGAGCCTGGGTCAACTGAAGCACACACACACACACACAGTTCAGACTGGATCCAGGTCTTAAAGAGGACTCAGTGTTAGGGGGCTAGGGGACTTAGGCCAGTTTATTGTGCAGGACCTTTCTGCGGGACCTTTTTTGGGGACTTTTCTGCAGGATGGGGTCTGGAGCTAAAACAGGAAGTCTTACCAGCTCTTCACACTGAGTGTGGCGGAGGCGTTTGGCGATGTCAAGCGGCATCTCTCCAGCTTCGTTTGCTGTGGAGACAAAATGAAATTCAAATTAAGCATTTTATTGAAAACGTAATCGATGACGTCCAGAGGTCGGACTCTGAGTGAATCTGTTGTTGACCTCCGAACACAACAGGAAGTGACCTTTAATCTGTCATCATTAGTCGCCGTGTGTCCTCTGTGTGTTTGTGTTCTTACTGATGGACACCGAAGCTTTTCCTCTCAGCAGCAGCTTGAGACACTCGCTGTTGTCCGTCAAACAGCAGTAATGCAGCGCCGTGGATCCTCTGACCGTCTGCTTGTCCAGGTCACCACTGAAACACACACATTCATGTTTTAATATCAATGTGGGGACCGTCCTCTGACCGTTTGCTTGTCCAGGTCACCACTGAAACACACACATTCATGTTTTAATATCAATGTGGGGACCGTCCTCTGACCGTTTGCTTGTCCAGGTCACCACTGAAACACACACATTCATGTTTTAATATCAATGTGGGGACCGTCCTCTGACCGTTTGCTTGTCCAGGTCACCACTGAAACACACACATTCATGTTTTAATATCAATGTGGGGACCGTCCTCTGACCGTTTGCTTGTCCAGGTCACCACTGAAACACACACATTCATGTTTTAATATCAACGTGGGGACCGTCCTCTGACCGTTTGCTTGTCCAGGTCACCACTGAAACACACACATTCATGTTTTAATATCAACATGGGGACCGTCTGCTGGTCAGGGTTTACTTGACCTTCTTCATCACACTCACTTCCTTCAGTCTCAAAGTTGCCCACACATTTACAGAGATGAATCGATTAGTTTGAAATATTATCCAGTAACAATTTTTATTGGGATGTTAGTAATTAGCATGTATGGCTAATTAGCATGCATGGCTAATAAATGAATGTGCATTGTTCCTCAACATGATTAGAGGTGATGATGAAGCTTGGTCACCTGTTCTGTGCAAGGAAGTCGACAATGTGGAGCGAGTTTCTGTCGCCCATACGGACCGCCAGGTGGAGAACCGTCTCTCCGGGTTCCTGACGGAAACAAACATCAACATGGACGTTAGATCACTCACTCTGGTCTTATAAGACATAATAAATGAGTTCATTATGCCTACATTAACACTTATATAGTCTTATTTGCGTTAATAAGAATCTAATAAGGTCTTATAAGTGACTTATTACCTGTTATTACAAGCACCTTAATATAAAGTGTTACCAAGGTTCCTTCTTAAAGGATTCATAGACGTACGTGTTCGTTGGGCTGTGAGCTGGCCTCCATCAGGTCCACCCCCTCAGCGTAGACCTGGATCAGGGACAGGATGTCTCTGTTCCTGACCGCCTCGTACAGAGTCTGCAGCCTGGACGCGGCGTCGGCACACAGCCGCTGAGCGAAACGCTTCTCTGTGTACTTGGCGGTGATGTAGTCCTTCCTCGTCTGCCTGGAAACAACCCGAGCACAGCGACAGGAAACTTTAGATTTAGGGTTAGGTCTACTGAACGACTCTTATTCTGGATTATTAAACTCACATGTCGCTGCTCGCATCAGGCTTAGTTACGTCCTGCGCTGACAGGTTGGCCTCCATGATCTCGTTGAAGCTGGCATTTCCCACATTCTTCGCCAACTAAAACACAACATTATGAGTCAGGCGCAGCTCATCCTGAGCTCAAAGGTTAAATGTAAGTAGATCTAATGTACCAAAAAGTGCAATTGGGTGTCAGACAGTTGGTATAGAATAAGAGTGGCTAAAGTTGTATTTGTTCTGTGAGTTTAAAATCAGTCTGGCAGTAAAAATAGAAATATCAAACACTTTGCTTGAATTGTTCATATTTTTGTAACACAGTTGTGTACACAGGTGCCTTAAGTTGATTTGAATAAGCTCTTGATTCAGTACACATTTGAAATAATAATTTAAAAGCCTTTTATCCCAAAGCTCTCCAGCAAATGCATTTCCATGATGCATGCAGGGATTTTATGGAGATAAACTTTGAATGGTATTTTGTATTAAAAGCCCTGTGGGGATCCTTTATCTGCCCTGTTTACACTCTATAACTCTAAACCATTTAAAGTATACATCCCTTTGTGATAGACCTTTGACCTTTGTGTCACAATCAGACGATATGAACTACTCAACGTGATGAACCCTGAGCTGGTTATTAATCAACCATCCTGAGGAACCCATTTATCAGCCTGATTCTCAGATTTCCGTTCCTCTTCTTGGGACAGTGAAATGGACTCACCAGCAGCTCTGAGGTCCCCAGGACGTCCAGGTCCAGACTCTGGATCCTGGAGTAGTGGACCCCCATCTCTCTGTGGATCCCCGAGCACTCGATGCAGATCAGCACCCCGAGGTTGGTGGACAGCCAGGTGGGAGCTGACGAGAGGTTGAAGGTTTCATGTGAATCATGAAAAACACTTTGAAAATGACATGCTGGTTACCCTCTCCGCTCGCAGCTTTGAGGTCATCGGTCACTTTGATCCAACCTGAGAAACGAACACCTGCTGCATTGATTCTCAACATTTACGACCCAGAATTAAAAATAATGACCTTCCCTTCATCGTCAGATCCTGAAGAGAACGTTAAGAACCACGAGGTACAGCATCTACAACACGGCTGTTTGTTACAATCAAAGGGTCATTTTAAGCTCTTATATAGTTTGTGGTTGTTTTGCTATCAAAACGTTTGTTCCTTTCTGTGCACGCTGTGACTCACTGACTCTGAACCAGTCAGCTGCTGACAGAGCGCGTCACCGTGTTTCATTCCTGCAGGAACTCGTCGGACCGGCACGACCAACAGCTGAGAGATGCCCGACTTCATTCATCTCCAGCGTCTTAGCAGGAGCAGCATTTATAGAAATAGAAGGGTTGTGAAATGATTAACTGTTTGTGATAAATCGCTGAATTTGAAAATGTTGAAATGAGTGAGGAAAGTTTTACCAGTGTGCTGATGTGTGGATCAAAAGAATACAAAGAAATAGACTTCATGATGTGTTGCACTGTGATCCGACATAGAGTACAAACATCGTCTCCACTGCTCAGACTGCGTTTCATCTCATGCTTCTTAACTCTCACTGTGGACTGTATATGGCTGACAGGACCCTCAAGAGGACTGGACTTGATACTGGTCCTGTATGCGTGAAACTAGTCCAATAACTGGTCACACCACACCGGCCTGAGGAAATCCCTCAGACCAAGTCTTCCACTATATTGACTTTCTTGCTGTCAGTTTAAACACATTGGAGTAGTTTCACTCTCAGGTCAGTGGGGATTCCCAAACTCCAAAATAGAGCTCTGCAGACTTTGGGGATGTGGTTTCAGCTGCACCTGCAAGTTTAGCTGGAGCTCTTCTGTGATCATTTAACTCCTTTTGACACTTGCATCTCACTTTACTCTCGTCAGCTGAGCAGTCTGACAGTTTAAGCAAAGTGAGCCATTCAAAGGCGCTGTGGTTGGTTAGACTCTGACATTAACACTGATAGTAGCAGGGGTACTGACCAGGAGCTCCACAGTCGCAGCAGCCGTCGTTACCGCTCATCCTCTTCACCTCTGCTACGATGGCTTTGGTCAGCTCCTGCACGATGTTGTTCTCTCCTTCGTTCTGGTCGCCTTGAAAGGCTTTGTTCAGAGCCTCCTCTTTGCTGTTCTGCAGCACCGACACCCAGCTGCACAAAAAACATCACATGTTCAAGCTCACAAAGGTCAAAGGTCAGGAAGAGCTGGGCAAACGTTTAACTACCTACATCTGACACTCGGCTTCATCCTCGGTCTGGAAGTGATACGTTCTGTCATCTGAACACATGAAACGAGACGTTCATCTTTATAGGTCACACACTTGTAAATATGATTTATTAGTCGAGCAGGAGTGTGCAGCTCACGTGAGAACAGATCGAAGCTCTTCTTCTCGTCAGGGTTCCTTTTCACCTGGCAGGTGAGTAGGTTGAGTTTGGCTGGAGGGCTGTTAGCCTGAGAGACAAGAATCAGGGCTCAGAGTGAGACAATATGGAGATATCAAAAAGAAAGATGGCTGTGTTTCACTCAGTGATATTCAGCTCACTTTAAGATCACACATACTTCTTATTGTTTTATTAACGCTCTGACTTTTTCATCTGGTGCTACCTGCAGCTCAGAGAACCTGTAAAGTGTCTAAATTAGATCCACAATCATAAACGTGGCTCATCAGGTTTTCAGGTGTTGAATATTTGGTATATGTTCTAAGATCTTGTAGGTGATGACTTTACCCTCGAGCTCCGACCACGTGCGTGTTTACTGTCAATCAGCTGACGTTACAGCTAATTTAGACTTTCTTTATTGTCATTCAAACTTGTACTTTACAGTGCAGATAAGAACGAAATTTCGTTGCATTTGGCCCGTTGTAGTGCAGGATAAAAACAGCAGCATGTATTTACATATAAAAAATAAAAACACGCAGAGCTCAGCTGTTGCTAGAATTAGCATTTAGCTTAAGACACTGCTAGGTACAGTGTCCACAGTATGATGATGTGTTTTTAACTTTTGTGATAATAGGCTAAATGTCTCGTTATAGAAAGAACAGATTGTTTCTTTATGTTCAGTAATACTCAGTCCCTTTCACTGCTGCTAGTTAACGTGAGCTCGAGCTCCCTCCAGCGCGCTGCAGCTCATTTCCAGGGCTGAGCGTTTCTTGGCAGGAAGACGTTTAAAAGTCAAATGTGCAGCAGAATAAGTTGTGATTCATGATATTCAGTTTTATTCCATCAACACAGACAGCAGCTCAGACCAGTTCAGGGATTAAACAGCTGAGCGTCTTTCTTTACCTCCTAAACACAGCGTCTGTGAAGGGCTGCAATCCATTTATTGTTCACTTTTATCCAGGTATTAAACGTTTTATTCAACAACACATGAAGCCGAGGAGACGTGAACAATATGAAGCGATGAAGGTTGATGTAGTCGAACCAGACAGGGTTCAACATTTCTAGATTTTTTGTAAATAGATGAAGATTCATGGTGGGCTCAAAGGAAAGTGGCGAGGATGTCATCGGGACGTCGCCTCTTTAGACGATGATTAGCAAAGGTTTTAAAATTCAGTCACTTTGCAGGGTCGTCACGGTAACGATATCGGAATGAATCCAGAAATTCTTTTTTAAAAATCAGGCGGCAACGCTGCCCTTGTGTTTGTTTCCTCTAGGTAAGTCCGTGTCTCACGTTATGAAGCCCCTCCCCCTCCCTCCAAGTATCTGAATGCAGTCCCCACCCTTCTCTCTGTCATCCTTTTCCTTATGCTCCTCCTTCTCCTCCTCTTTCTCTTCCTCTGCTGCATGCTCTGTCCTGATTGGCCGTTTGACTCCTCATGTAAAAACTTCAAAATATAAGAAAGAAGGAAAAAAATAAAAAAGTAAAATGAGATCTTGATTGTTTCCCCCAATTTGACTCGAAAGTAAAACCCAGAAGGAGACTTTTCATTGGCTGAGAGCATGCAAGCAAAAAGGTGGCGCTTCCAGTGCAGGAGGACCAATAGGAAGAGAGGACTCAGGTGTCTTACCGTGCCGTGATTGATCGTCAGGAAACCGTTCTTCACCGAGCACTTCCTCTTCTGCCACACTTTCCTCAGGCTGTAAAGAGATTGGTTGACGACAAAACGTTTACATCGTAAATCTTAAATCATACGAATCAATCAGACATCAGATTAGTCCGTCATGCTAACGGGTCTTTACATGTTAGCATGTTATGTTCATGATGAGTCGTGAAGAAGGTTCAGGCTTTGTTTGTAAAACTAAATATTCAGAAAGTAAATGTAGTGTTCACCTCAAAGTCTGATTCACTAAGAATATCTCCATCAACTGATTTTAAATAACATTCATATTTACAGAGCTTTTATTTTGAAGGCACACAGAGGTGGAAGGGTTTTCCTGATCTCTGGAAAGTTTGAATAAATACTGCGACGCAGTTACCACCAACTCTCAGCGGACGACCATGTTTTCACTCTAACAGTGCGTGGCTGTTAGCGCCCCCTGTTGGTGAGTTAGACTCTTTTTACAGTGAGAAAGAGACGATTAACCCTTTCATGAGTGATTTAAATACAAACAGCAGTGACCCTCAGAGACACAGTTTGCTCTGCGCTGCAGAGGGGAGCGTTTAACCCTTTGTGCGTGTTTGTGGATCAGACGTCTCCTTAGTGAGTCAGACCTTCATTAAAAACAGAGTCTACAGAGTCTCATCAGCTGCTTCACTGAGGTGCAAACACTTTAAACTGTACAGTAAAAGTCTGTTCCAAAGAATTCTCCAGGAAGGAGGTTATATTTTCCAGAGGCATTCTGGGACATTGAGTTCACTCACCCCTCACTTTTCTTGAAGAGGAATCCGGAGCATTCGGTGCCATGAGCCTTGTTGCCCTGCAGCTGGTGGAGACTATAACCTGAGCTTTGTTTGGCCTGAGAGTCCTGAAGAGAGCCGGGGAACAAACACACGTATGAAACCTCGCTGTAATCTCAAGTACTGGAAGCATCCTCTAGGGGTCACCGTCCTAATGACAGGTTTGAACTCTGACCTCTTTCTGCTCCGACTGCAGCGAGGCCTTCAGGGCGTCTCGCAGCTGAATCAGCTGTTTCCTCTCTCCATCCTGGGTCTGTTTAATCTGAAGAGACGCACATTTAAAACGTCATCATAGCAGAGCGTTCTGATACTAACAGAAACATTATGTACAGAGTCACAGCAGAGCGTTCTGATGCTAACACAAACATTATATACAGAGTCACAGCAGAGCGTTCTGATGCTAACACAAACATTATATACAGAGTCACAGCAGAGCGTTCTGATACTAACAGAAACATTATGTACAGAGTCACAGCAGAGCGTTCTGATGCTAACACAAACATTATATACAGAGTCACAGCAGAGCGTTCTGATGCTAACACAAACATTATATACAGAGTCACAGCAGAGCGTTCTGATGCTAACACAAACATTATATACAGAGTCACAGCAGAGCGTTCTGATACTAACAGAAACATTATGTACAGAGTCACAGCAGAGCGTTCTGATGCTAACACAAACATTATGTACAGAGTCACAGCAGAGCGTTCTGATGCTAACACAAACATTATGTACAGAGTCACAGCAGAGCGTTCTGATGCTAACAGAAACATTATGTACAGAGTCACAGCAGAGCGTTCTGATGCTAACACAAACATTATGTACAGAGTCACAGCAGAGCGTTCTGATGCTAACACAAACATTATGTACAGAGTCACAGCAGAGCGTTCTGATGCTAACACAAACATTATGTACAGAGTCACAGCAGAGCGTTCTGATGCTAACACAAACATTACATACAGAGTCACAGCAGAGCGTTCTGATGCTAACACAAACATTATGTACAGAGTCACAGCAGAGCGTTCTGATGCTAACAGAAACATTATGTACAGAGTCACAGCAGAGCGTTCTGATGCTAACACAAACATTATACATTATATACAGAGTCAGCAGAGCGTTCTGATGCTAACACAAACATTATGTACAGAGTCACAGCAGAGCGTTCTGATGCTAACACAGACATTACATACAAAGTCACAGCAGAGCGTTCTGATGCTAACACAAACATTACATACAAAGTCACAGCAGAGCGTTCTGATGCTAACACAAACATTACATACAGAGTCACAGCAGAGCGTTCTGATGCTAACACAAACATTATATACAGAGTCAGCAGAGCGTTCTGATGCTAACACAAACATTATGTACAGAGTCACAGCAGAGCGTTCTGATGCTAACACAAACATTATATACAGAGTCACAGCAGAGCGTTCTGATGCTAACACAAACATTATATACAGAGTCACAGCAGAGCGTTCTGATGCTAACACAAACATTATATACAGAGTCACAGCAGAGCGTTCTGATGCTAACACAAACATTATATACAGAGTCACAGCAGAGCGTTCTGATGCTAACACAAACATTATATACAGAGTCACAGCAGAGCGTTCTGATGCTAACACAAACATTATATACAGAGTCACAGCAGAGCGTTCTGATGCTAACACAAACATTATATACAGAGTCACAGCAGAGCGTTCTGATGCTAACACAAACATTATATACAGAGTACTCACCGCTGTCAGGTCGGTGGCCAGCTTCTCTACGGAGGGTTTCAGACTCTCTACAGCCTTCAGACCGTCCTGGAAGAAACTGAAACACGAAGAGAGAGAAGAAGAATTTAACTCCTCTGAGGAGACGGGGATAAATAACAACATGTGAAGCATGGTCGTGATGTGGGAAACATACTTGCACTGAGCGTGGAAATACTTGATGAGGTTCTGGAGGAAGTCTGCGCCTTTCTTCACTTTGATCTCGTTCACTTTGAGGAGATACTGCAACAGGAAACCAGGGAGGAGAAACTCAGTGAACAAGCTTCAAGACATTAACCAGGATGGATTTCAAATGAGCATGAGGGGGAGGGGTCACACGGGGGAGGGGCCACGCAGGAGAGCGATGTTACCTCACACATCTGCAGCTGGAACAGTCGTCTCTCCTTCTCCATCTCTTCTGCGATCTCTCCTCCGCTGAACTCGGTGCGGATCATCCCGTGCTGCTTGGCGTGCTCCCGCTTCTCCTTCTCAAGCTTCACTCTGCAGAGGTCAAAGGTCAAATTAAGATTTAACAAAGCAAACAGAAACTTCTCATAACTCAGAAGAAGTTTTTTTTCTCACAGCTTCGTCTCGTAGTCCTTCCATGCTTTGTCGAAAGGCTTCTTCAGATCCTGGAGGAACAGGAAGACAATCATTAAAATAATAATAGCCGTTTGGAGATTTTCCCTTCATGACATCACAAAAGGGCAGTAGCCCCTCCCCCAGGTGGGTGACACTCCCACAGCTAGGTGTTTGTTCTGCCCTCTGAGTCTGCCTTCTCACCGTAAACAATAGGACATGGAGCGAGAAAGACCAAGTACACCCAAGCCCTTCCAGAGAGGGGGCGTGGTCAGACACAGCTCATTTACATATTTAAAGGTACAGACACAGAAACAGCCTGTTCTGAGCAGGGCTGAAATAGAGGGGTTTATAGACATGATCAAATATAGAATCAGAGTGGATTTAGAACAAGAAACTTCACACACATGTTTTGAGGAGCTCTGACACTTATTTAAACTGAAGAAGAAGAAGAGGAGGATATGTGACCTTTCAGATCCTTGTGAGTGCTCCGGGATGATGTGTTCCTTTTAATTCACTATTTAAAAAATGACTGACTGTGTAAATAAGCAGCCGATTAGAAATGTAAAGAATCCTTATGAGGGTCACACGTACCCCTTTGACCCCCTTCAGGTCTCCTTTCAGCAGACTGTCCAGAGGAAACGTGATGATGTTGTTCATGTTCTGTAGCTGCAGACACAAAGTCGTGTTAGAGTGTCACAGCGTTCAGATGAATAATCCTCCATCAAACATGTTCATGCATAAGAACCTCCTCACCAGGTTTTTGAAGAGCGCTGTCAGCTCTTTGGTGAAAATGGCGAACGTTTGGAAAGCTGAGCCGACCTCGGCATTCTCTCTGTTGGCACAGTCTCCAAACTTCTCCATGGACTGAATGTACTGCTCCTCGTTTTCCACATGAGCTGAAACACACAGAGGACACATTCAACTGCATAGCACTTTTAAAACAGGATAATCCTGAGAACAGACCCCGCCCACAGAGGGCAGCGGGGGGCGTGTTCTATAGTCACACACACTTTTCTAAATCTCTCATCATGACTTCACACGTCTTAAAAACAGCTTGATGAACAAACATCAGGAGGATTCAGGATCCTTTAGTCTCCTTCTGGTCTGGGGCGGGAGTCTCTCCCTCGGCATGCTGGGACAGGACAGCAGTATGACAGGAATGTTTGGGGTGAAACTCCACCTGCCTGAACCTACCTGCACCACACAGTCCCTGAACTCACCACCACACAGTCCCTGAACGCACCACCACACAGTCCCTGAACGCACCATCCCTGAACGCGCCATCACACAGTCCCTGAACGCGCCATCACACAGTCCCTGAACGCACCACCACACAGTCACTGAACGCACCATCCCCTGAATACACCAACACACAGTCCCTGAACGCGCCATCACACAGTCCCTGAACGCGCCATCACACAGTCACTGAACGCACCATCCCCTGAATGCGCCACCACACAGTCCCTGAACGCGTCACCACACAGTCCCTGAACGCACCACCACACAGTCTCTGAACGCACCATCCCACAGTCCCTGAACGCACCATCACACAGTCCCTGAACGCACCACCACACAGTCCCTGAACGCGCCACCACACAGTCTCTGAACGCGCCACCACACAGTCCCTGAAAGCGCCACGACACAGTCCCTGAACGCATCACCACACAGTCTCTGAACGCACCACCACACAGTCCCTGAACGCACCACCACACAGTCCCTGAACGCACCATCACACAGTTCCTGAACGCACCACCACACAGTCCCTGAACGCACCATCACACAGTCCCTGAACGCACCATCACACAGTCCCTGAACGCACCACCAGCTGAGTCCAATCCCTCTCTGTGATGCGTGACGATGAGTATTTATCAGTTTATTATAACGGTTTGATTTTAGCAATGAATCTCAAGATGAACTAGAATAAAGATCAAACCTTAAAGTCGTACCGCTCCTTTAATGCTTCAGGTGTCTTCATTAGAAACGTTATATTAAGAAAACTTTAATCCTAAGTCTTTAAACTAACATTCAAACGGTTCATTAGGGACATCCGATATCGACCCTGCTGACAGACATCAGCACATCGGTAAAGAATAAGCCAATGTTTATCTAGTGTCTATAAGAGATTTCTCTATCTTAAGAGATCAAGAACGACTGATTCAGAGAAGAGAGAGAGTCACCTGTTGAACAAACATGAGAGAACATGGTGCATTGTGGGAGTCTGACACAGCTGATCTCTGCTTATTCTTTAGCTTAAGGCAATAGTTTCAACTCTTCATCAACTCGATCTTTAACTCCAAACGATTTTCACACTGTCCCCTGAAGAAGGCGCTCGCTGATTCACGTAGGTTTATTTTAAATGTTTCTAGCCCGTTGAATTAAACTTTTATATTTTATAAACCATCCTGAGTGTCTGGACCTGGATCATTCCTACCAAGGCCATTTATTGTGAAATCTTCCTTCACTTTATTTTGAAGGGTTCATTCATTTTATTTTGAAGTCTTCCTCCTCCATTTGTGTCATCGTTATCGTTACTCAGATTTCTGACTAGTCAAGTCAAGTCAACTTTATTTATATAGCACATTTATAACAGCCGAGGCAGACCAAAGTGCTGTACAGTAATACACTCGTTTTCTGTTTCTGAACTACATTTCCCATCATGCAGAGCAAGACTGAAGTTGACAATCAGTTAATTACTGACACTAAAGACAGTAACGAGTTAAAATAAATCATGTGGTCAAGTCAAACAAAAACAAAAATGTGATATGGATGAAATTTGTGTTTGAGCAGACAGGAAGTGAAAGTGTTCGACAGTTTGTGACTGTGTCACTCACTCAGACCGGACGTGTTGATGGCCTTCACCGACTTCTTGATCTTGTACAGAACGGATCTGTCCACGTCCAGAGCCTGAGGAGGACAGACACAGTGAGGACAGAAAACATAAAAACAAACATCCAATGAAGGTGTGTGTGACACAAAGCAAAGGTTTTTATCCTTGGTGATGCATTCAAAGACAATCGGTCAACTGGACAGTACAAAGACAGAGGACAGAGGAATAGACTTTACATTTCTTTCTTATTTAAAAGAGTTACACATTTATTATTAAACTGAAGCCACTGCTTTTAACGGTAATGAATTTGAGCTTATGTCGCACTTTTCTAATCTCCTGACTACTCAAGAGCGTTTACACCGCAGGTCACACCTACACATTCACACACTGATGGTAGAGGCTGCTGTGTAAAGAGTCCATCAGTATAAACTCATCCATTCACACACATTCACACACTGATGGTAGAGGCCGCTGAGTAAAGAGTCCGTCAGTATTAACTCATCCATTCACACACATTCACACGCTGATGGTAGAGGCCGCTGAGTAAAGAGTCCGTCGGTATTAACTCATCCATTCACACACATTCACACGCTGATGGTAGAGGCCGCTGAGTAAAGAGTCCGTCGGTATTAACTCATCCATTCACACACATTCACACGCTGATGGTAGAGGCCGCTGAGTAAAGAGTCCGTCGGTATTAACTCATCCATTCACACACATTCACACGCTGATGGTAGAGGCCGCTGAGTAAAGAGTCCGTCAGTATTAACTCATCCATTCACACACATTCACACGCTGATGGTAGAGGCCGCTGAGTAAAGAGTCCGTCAGTATTAACTCATCCATTCACACACTGATGGTAGAGGCTGCTGTGTAAAGAGTCCGTCAGTATTAACTCATCCATTCACACACATTCACACGCCGATGGTAGAGGCCGCTGAGTAAAGAGTCCGTCAGTATTAACTCATCCATTCACACACGTTCACACGCCGATGGTAGAGGCCGCTGAGTAAAGAGTCCGTCAGTATTAACTCATCCATTCATACACATTCACACGCTGATGGTAGAGGCCGCTGTGTAAAGAGTCCGTCAGTATTAACTCATCCATTCACACACTGATGGTAGAGGCCGCTGTGTAAAGAGTCCATCAGTATTAACTCATCCATTCACACACATTCACACGCTGATGGTAGAGGCCGCTGAGTAAAGAGTCCGTCAGTACTAACTCATCCATTCACACACATTCACACGCTGATGGTAGAGGCCGCTGTGTAAAGAGTCCGTCAGTATTAACTCATCCATTCACACACATTCACACGCTGATGGTAGAGGCCGCTGTGTAAAGAGTCCGTCAGTATTAACTCATCCATTCACACACATTCACACGCTGATGGTAGAGGCCGCTGTGTAAAGAGTCCGTCAGTATTAACTCATCCATTCACACACATTCACACGCTGATGGTAGAGGCCGCTGTGTAAAGAGTCCGTCAGTATTAACTCATCCATTCACACACATTCACACGCTGATGGTAGAGGCCGCTGTGTAAAGAGTCCGTCAGTATTAACTCATCCATTCACACACATTCACACGCCGATGGTAGAGGCCGCTGTGTAAAGAGTCCGTCAGTATTAACTCATCCATTCACACACATTCACACGCCGATGGTAGAGGCCGTTGTGTAAAGAGTCCGTCAGTATTAACTCATCCATTCACACACATTCACACACCGATGGTAGAGGCCGCTGTGTAAAGAGTCCATCAGTATTAACTCATCCATTCACACACTGATGGTAGAGGCCGCTGAGTAAAGAGTCCATCAGTATTAACTCATCCATTCACACGCTGATGGTAGAGGCCGCTGTGTAAAGAGTCCGTCAGTATTAACTCATCCATTCACACACATTCACACGCTGATGGTAGAGGCCGCTGAGTAAAGAGTCCGTCAGTATTAACTCATCCATTCACACACTGATGGTAGAGGCCGCTGTGTAAAGAGTCCATCAGTATTAACTCATCCATTCACACACATTCACACGCTGATGGTAGAGGCCGCTGAGTAAAGAGTCCGTCAGTATTAACTCATCCATTCACACACATTCACACGCCGATGGTAGAGGCCGCTGTGTAAAGAGTCCGTCAGTATTAACTCATCCATTCACACACATTCACACACTGATGGTAGAGGCCGCTGTGTAAAGAGTCCATCAGTATTAACTCATCCATTCACACACTGATGGTAGAGGCCGCTGAGTAAAGAGTCCATCAGTATTAACTCATCCATTCACACGCTGATGGTAGAGGCCGCTGTGTAAAGAGTCCGTCAGTATTAACTCATCCATTCACACACATTCACACGCTGATGGTAGAGGCCGCTGAGTAAAGAGTCCGTCAGTATTAACTCATCCATTCACACACTGATGGTAGAGGCCGCTGTGTAAAGAGTCTATCAGTATTAACTCATCCATTCACACACATTCACACGCTGATGATAGAGGCCGCTGAGTAAAGAGTCCGTCAGTATTAACTCATCCATTCACACACATTCACACGCTGATGGTAGAGGCCGCTGAGTAAAGAGTCCGTCAGTATTAACTCATCCATTCACACACATTCACACGCTGATGGTAGAGGCCGCTGAGTAAAGAGTCCGTCAGTATTAACTCATCCATTCATACACATTCACACGCTGATGGTAGAGGCCGCTGAGTAAAGAGTCCGTCAGTATTAACTCATCCATTCACACACATTCACACGCTGATGGTAGAGGCTGCTGTGTAAAGAGTCCATCAGTATTAACCCATCCAAACAAAATAAAACATTTACAAAAGGGAATTAAAGGAAAATAAAAGCTGAACCTGCTGTTAATATTCCCTCCTTCAGACTTGTTGGGACGTGACAGAGGATTTTAAAACCAAACAGAGAGAGAACGAGTAGAGAGATCAGAGAGAAGAGGAGGAGGAGAGGCACTTGAAAAGGTCTGACGGGGCGAGACGAGTCCTGTTGAGACTCGATCAGACAGGTGAGTCATCGCCCTGGGTCTAGTGTCTGGGATCGTCCCAGCATGCAACAGGAGGGTCGATGGTCACACCTGCGCTCGCTGCTAATCTGAAATATTCTCTCCGGGTAGAAATACGAGATTCAGATTGTTATAAAACACAAACTCACAGATATGCAGTCGTAGATAGAAAGATCTAGAATAAAGAGAGGAGGACACATGTCCATCGATTCAGAAGTGTGTAAAGAAGTAGGGAGGCCCTGAAGGACAAAAAAGTTAAAAACAAACAAGATAATTATTTTGTGTGCAGGATATTTTCTCAGACTTCAGGAATAAATAAAGATAACAAAAAAGAGAGAGAGAGTAACGGCCGGGTATCGATGAAGTGAGACGGAGAGTGGAGGTCGACTTGTTCCCAGCATGCAACAGGAGGAGGAGGATGACAGCACGTGTTCAGATCTGCACTCCTCTAAAGCTCCAGTTTAGAAGTTCAGGTTTTTATTTTTTATATAAAACATGTAAAAGTATAAATATTCAAAGAGATAAAGAGAAATAAAGTTTATAGATACTGAAATATAAACGTATAAAGAGACGGAGATAACGAAGATGTTTGGATATAAAGATCGGATAAAGAAGCTGGAATTTAAAAACACATCTTCAGTGGACGACATTCAAACGGCATCAGGAAACGGTTTACTCCTGTTCTGGATCTCTAAAGCGTGTGATGCTGTTAATCGTGACCCTGGCGGTGCTGAGAGGGCTATGATGCAATGTGGCGTCCCGCAGGGCTCCATATTGGGACCACAACTGTTTCCTGTCTACGTTAAAGGAAGAATGTGGACCTTTTTAGTCCAGTAGATTTCACACTTAAGCGAAACCAAAACAAACTGAACCTCTGAGGTCGTCCATGGGGGCGGAGCTACGTGCTGACACTAGTCACAAAAAAGCAAAAACAGACTTGAGAGGAGTCTCTGGAAATCCACGGATATTTAAACATGGCGAGTATTGTGTCTGTCCTTCATTACCGCGGTCGGATGGGTACCTCTGGCACCCCAACAGAATGGTAGCAAAATAAGAGGATGGTACAGATCGATTGTTTTGGTACGATTCACAACTTCTAACGGTGGAAACACCAATAAATACGTACCGGAATGGAACAGACCAGACCGGACTGGACCAGACCGGGCCGTACTGAACCGGACTGGACCGGACCGCTTGGCGTACTGGCCGTTGCTGCTACAGTACGAGACGCTGGATTGTATAGCACAGCGCTTTTCTTAGTGAAGTGATAAAAATATCAGGAGAAGAATTCAAAGCTGCGAGCATCAGAACTCAGCAGTAAACAAGTCCATGTCTCTCTCTCAGCAGGTGACCTTTGACCCTCCTGCTTCCTCATATCAGCTCTATTACCCGACCTGTACCAACATCGCTGTGTTGCATAATTAAGAAGCAGCTCCAAACTCTTACAACATCAGAAAAAAGCTGAAAAAGATTCAGCTCAACGGCTGCTTCAGCAGAGAGGAAGTGTTTCTCTCTGTTCCTCTTTTCAACCAGAAAATAAACGGACAAAGATTTTCACTTCGAATGCCTGGAAGACGTTTGAGACGCAGGAAGATGTGACTCCATGATTACTCAGAAACACAACTACACATCCCATAATACACAGCTTCATCACAGGGAGGGCTGCAAGGGTTAAATAAGGGAGACTAATTTATTAACTCAAATGATTGTGTGTGTGTGTGTGTGTGTGTGTGTGTGTGTGTGTGTGTGTGTGTGTGTGTGTGTGTGTGTGTGTGTGTGTGTGTGTGTGTGTCAGTATGTGTGTGTGTGTGTGTGTGTGTGTGTGTGTGTGTCTGTGTGTGTGTGTCTGTGTGTGTGTGTGTGTGTGTGTGTGTGTGTGTGTGTGTGTGTGTGTCTGTGTCTGTGTGTGTGTGTGTCAGTATGTGTGTGTGTGTGTGTGTGTGTGTGTGTGTGTGTGTGTCAGTGTGTGTGTGTGTGTGTGTGTGTAGGGGAGTGTGTGTGTGTGTGTGTGTGCGTGTGTCAGTGTGTGTGAGTGTGTGTCAGTGTGTGTGTGTGTGTGTGTGTGTGTGTGTGTGTGTGTGTGTGTGTCTGTGTGTCTGTGTCTGTGTGTCAGTGTGTGTGTGTGTGTGTGTGTGTGTGTGTGTGTGTGTGTGTGAGAGTGTGTGTGTGTGAGTGTGTGTGTGTGTCAGTGTGTGTGTGTGTACCTCCTCCAGAGCTGCCACAGAGTTCCTGCAGTGGGACATCCGGGTGGAGAAGCTGGAGGTGGTCGGGGCTTTGTAGTCCTCGTTAGTCTCGGAGATGAACTCGGTCACGGAGATGAGCTCCGGCATCGTGACCAGCTATTAACAACACGGACTGTCGTAAAGAAGTCAAACCTGCAGCCTCAGGACTGTCGTAAAGAAGTCAAAGCTGCAGCCTCAGGTAAGTTCAGCAGCCACACCTGGACGGACTCAAAATACTCCACAGTGTCACAAGCAGCCTCCAAAGATCCTGTCCTGGGTCCGGTCCTCTCTGCTCCTCATATCTGAAGTGTGGATTCAGACTTTCATTCCACTCTCGGTGAAGTTTGAACTTTTATTCCATGATTTGTTCCGCGGAGGAGAAGATCTGAAGAACACGGGCGATCCTGCTGCCGACACCACCTGAGCAAACTGCAGGGCGGAGACTCACAGAGGTGGAGCAGCAAGAGCTCCCACTCTGCAGCTGTTTCCGGGGACCAAAAACACATTCAGAGAAAGAAGAACAGGAAGTGTGAAATGTATTCTGCTTTTCTCAAAGTGAAGTCAAAGTGAGTCCTGAACCTGCAGTCTGTCACAGAGACGATAAAAAACGATTCCATAAAAGTCGACATACTCGACTTATCGGCCGTTTTCTGTTAACAAAGACTTTGGTCGGCTTATTGGCTCCCAGACTTCTTCATTTGGTCATTTAATTATTTGAATAAGCTGTGACCTTTGACTGTTTGCTTATATTTTATTTTAAGTTCCCATGAAACTGAACTGAGAGGATTTTATTTCACAACATAGAAGATTATTTGTTTCACCAAACCGTAAATCTCCCAGAGTAACGCCATCACTGTCGGGAGTGTCTGCTTTACTCACGTTGTTTTGATTCAGTGTTACATTTTTAATTTCCTGTTTTATTTTGACATCCTGAGTTTAGTTTTCAGTGTTTCCTGTTTTATTTTGACACTTGACATTAGCTTTCAGTGTTACTTATTTTATTTTGACATCCCGAGTTTAGTTTTCAGTGTTTTCTGTTTTATTTTGACATCCCGAGTTTAGTTTTCAGTGTTTCCTGTTTTATTTTGACATCCTGAGTTTAGTTTTCAGTGTGTCGGGGGCGCCAGAGGCCTAATGACAGGCTGAGACGGGCTGGAAGCAGGGAACCGGACCGGAAGTGGGGAACCGGAAGAGGGGAACCGGAAGCAGGGAACCGGACCGGAAGCAGGTAACCGGACCGGAAGCAGGGAACCAGACCGGAAGCAGGGAACCGGAAGCGGGGAACCGGAAGCGGGGAACCGGACCGGAAGCAGGGAACCGGAAGCGGGGAACAGGGCCAGAAGCAGGGAACCAGACCGGAAGCAGGGAACCAGGCCGGAAGCAGGGAACCGGAAGCAGGGAACCGGGCCAGAAGCGGGGAACCGGACCGGAAGCGGGGAACCGGGCCGGAAGCAGGGAACCGGACCGGAAGCGGAGAACCGGGCCGGAAGCGGGGAACCGGACCGGAAGCACGGAACCGGGCCAGAAGCAATGAGCCGGACCGGAAGCAGGGAACTGGAAGCAGGGAACCGGGCCTGAAGCAAGGAACCGGACCAGAGGCAGGGAACCGGGCCTGAAGCAGGGAACCGGACCGGAGGCAGGGAACCGGACTAGAAGTAGGGAACCGGACTAGAAGCAGGGAACCGGGCCAGAAGCAAGGAACCGGACCGGAGGCAGGGAACCGGACGAGAAGTAGGGAACCGGACTAGAAGCAGGGAACCGGGCCTGAAGCAGGGAACCGGACCGGAAGCGGGGAACCGGAAGCAGGGAACCGGACCGGAAGCAGGGAACCGGACAGGAAGCGGGGAACCGAACCGGAAGCGGGGAACCGGAAGCAGGGAACCGGACCGGAAGCAGGGAACCGGACCGGAAGCAGGGAACCGGACCGGAAGCAGGGAACCGGAAGTGGGGAACCAGAAGCGGGGAACCGGGCCGGAAGCAGGGAACCGGACCGGAAGCGGGGAACCGGGCCGGAAACGGGGAACCGGACCGGAAGCACGGAACCGGGCCAGAAGCAATGAGCCGGACCAGAAGCACGGAACCGGGCCAGAAGCAATGAGCCGGACCAGAAGCAGGGAACTGGAAGCAGGGAACCGGGCTGGAAGCAGGGAACCGGGCCTGAAGCAAGGAACCGGACAGGAAGCGGGGAACCGGAAGCAGGGAACCGGACCGGAAGCAGGGAACCGGACCGGAAGCAGGGAACCGGACAGGAAGCGGGGAACCGGACCGGAAGCGGGGAACCGGAAGCGGGGAACCGGACCGGAAGCAGGGAACCGGACCGGAAGCAGGGAACCGGAAGCAGGGAACCGGAAGCGGGGAACAGGGTCAGAAGCAGGGAACCAGACCGGAAGCAGGGAACCGGGCCGGAAGCAGGGAACCGGAAGCAGGGAACCGGGCCAGAAGCGGGGAACCGGACCGGAAGCGGGGAACCGGGCCGGAAGCAGGGAACCGGACCGGAAGCAGGGAACCGGACCGGAAGCGGAGAACCGGGCCGGAAATGGGGAACCGGACCGGAAGCACGGAACCGGGCCAGAAGCAATGAGCCGGACCGGAAGCAGGGAACCAGACCGGAAGCAGGGAACCGGAAGCAGGGAACCGGAAGCGGGGAACAGGGCCAGAAGCAGGGAACCGGACCGGAGGCAGGGAACCGGACTAGAAGCAGGGAACCGGACTAGAAGCAGGGAACTGGGCCAGAAGCAGGGAACCGGACCGGAGGCAGGGAACTGGACTAGAAGCAGGGAACCGGACCGGAAGCAGGGAACTGGAAGCAGGGAACCGGGCTGGAAGCAGGGAACCGGGCCTGAAGCAAGGAACCGGACCAGAGGCAGGGAACCGGACTAGAAGTAGGGAACCGGGCCAGAAGCAAGGAACCGGACCGGAGGCAGGGAACCGGACTAGAAGTAGGCAACCGGACTAGAAGCAGGGAACCGGGCCTGAAGCAGGGAACCGGACCGGAGGCAGGGAACCAGACCGGAGGCAGGGAACCGGACCGGAGGCAGGGAACCGGACTAGAAGTAGGGAACCGGGCCAGAAGCAAGGAACCGGACCGGAGGCAGGGAACCGGACTAGAAGCAGGGAACCTGGCCTGAAGCAGGGAACCGGACTGGAAGCAGGGAACCGGACTAGAAGCAGGGAACCTGGCCAGAAGCAAGGAACCGGACCGGAGGCAGGGAACCGGACTAGAAGCAGGGAACCGGACTGGAAGCACGGAACCGGGCCAGAAGCAATGAGCCGGACCAGAAGCACGGAACCGGGCCAGAAGCAATGAGCCGGACCAGAAGCAGGGAACTGGAAGCAGGGAACCGGGCTGGAAGCAGGGAACCGGGCCTGAAGCAAGGAACCGGACAGGAAGCGGGGAACCGGAAGCAGGGAACCGGACCGGAAGCAGGGAACCGGACCGGAAGCAGGGAACCGGACAGGAAGCGGGGAACCGGACCGGAAGCGGGGAACCGGAAGCGGGGAACCGGACCGGAAGCAGGGAACCGGACCGGAAGCAGGGAACCGGAAGCAGGGAACCGGAAGCGGGGAACAGGGTCAGAAGCAGGGAACCAGACCGGAAGCAGGGAACCGGGCCGGAAGCAGGGAACCGGAAGCAGGGAACCGGGCCAGAAGGGGGGAACCGGACCAGAAGCAGGGAACCGGACCGGAAACAAGGAACTGGGCTGTCCCAGACCAAACAGGACTGGATGTGGTGGTATTTCTGGACCTATGTATTGATATTTAAGTGTACAGATATCATTATGTTTCTTCACTGATTCAGCTGTAAGGACAGTTCAGTGTGATGAGGGTCTTCTTCTTTATATAAGAACAGTTCAGTGTGATGAGGGTCTTCTTTATATAAGAACAGTTCAGTGTGATGAGGGTCTTCTTTATATAAGAACAGTTCAGTGTGATGAGGGTCTTCTTCTTTATATAAGAACAGTTCAGTGTGATGATGGTCTTCTTCTTTATATAAGGACAGTTCAGTGTGATGATGGTCTTCTTCTTTATATAAGAACAGTTCAGTGTGATGAGGGTCTTCTTCTTTATATAAGAACAGTTCAATGTGATGAGGGTCTTCTTTATATAAGGACAGTTCAGTGTGATGAGGGTCTTCTTCTTTATATAAGAACAGTTCAGTGTGATGAGGGTCTTCTTCTTTATATAAGGACAGTTCAATGTGATGAGGGTCTTCTTCTTTATATAAGAACAGTTCAATGTGATGAGGCTCTTCTTCTTTATATAAGGACAGTTCAATGTGATGAGGGTCTTCTTCTTTATATAAGGACAGTTCAATGTGATGAGGGTCTTCTTCTTTATATAAGGACAGTTCAATGTGATGAGGGTCTTCTTCTTTATATAAGAACAGTTCAATGTGATGAGGGTCTTCTTCTTTATATAAGGACAGTTCAATGTGATGAGGGTCTTCTTCTTTATATAAGAACAGTTCAATGTGATGAGGGTCTTCTTCTTTATATAAGAACAGTTCAATGTGATGAGGGTCTTCTTCTTTATATAAGAACAGTTCAGTGTGATGAGGGTCTTCTTCTTTATATGTCCCTTGTTTCAAAGCGAGGAGGCGATATATATTTTTTATATTTAAATGTCAACGAGGACGTCGCACCTCATTAAACATTAAACACCTTCAGACTTTGAGTCCTGGAGCGACAGGTTGGTCAGACCTGAATCCTGAGACTTCTTTGAGTCTGTAAATGTTTGACCGCTCGAGGTCATTCCTTCCAAAGTCCAGAGCGGCTCAGATATCATGACTCCTCGAAGGAAACACGACGGGACAAAATGAACGCCACATTTCTAAACCTGAATGTTTTTCTCTGATTGATTCTCGTCTCGGCTTCGTACGACAACAAGGTAACATAACCTTTACTTACTGATATGAACGCCATGGTTAACCCTGAGACCGTTTCAATGTGAAGCAGTCAGCTGATCAACCAGCGGTCTGATGGAGGTCAGTACCTCGGGGGTCCATGATGGGGGGGGGTCTATATCCAGCTGACCCGGGTCAGAGTTAAAGAAACAACACGCCTGGGTCTCCGTGATGTTCATGTTGTTGTGTTTGTGTGAAGGTGGAGGCTCTGCTATGAATCAGTCTGAGGACAGAGAGGAGGAGGGAGCCCCTCCCTCTAAATCCACTCTGTGTGGGGATCAGAACAGACCTAGACCTGGACCTGCTCCCATCTGTGTGTCTCTGAAAAGTGATACGTCTATCCAGTGATTTATCGAGTTCAAAGATGGACGCCACTTTTCTGATGAGGGGTAAGAATGTAGATAGTCTGTCTCACATTGTGGACTAACTGGAGTCCAAACAACCAATCTTTGTACAGACCTGAACGTGGACCTGCTCCTGCACCTGGACCTGCTCCCAGCTGTGTGTCCTTCAAGAGGGACCGGTCTATAGATCAATTTATAAGCAATCACTCCACCTTTATTATTCACACTCAGCGCCCTCTCTCCCTCTCTCTCTGTGTTGAAGACCAGGGTATCAGGAAGGACCAGACTCTGCTGGACCTGAACCTGAACCTGGACCAAGCCGGTCATCTGTGAAGACGCTACAGTTGTTGTTTGAATCCCTGGAGTCGGCCGATAAGACGTAAGAACAGAAATGAAAGTAATCATGTTGTTGATGTGTGATGGTCGTAGGAAGAGCAGATGGATCTGACCCCCCCCCTGGGAGTTCAGATCTCAGGGGGCGCTTGTAAGTGTGCGTTCTGATTCCAGCCTGGGACACGTTAACCCTTTAACGGTGTTAAAGAGGTCTCTACCCAACAAGGGGGGACTACACCGGTCCAGAATCCAGTCCTGTGATATTGGGATAGAAATGTACCCTTACCCCTTAAATATTTTCTTTTACAATTATTTATTCATCACAGAGCTAGAACTCCCCCCCCCCAAACCATTTCAGCCTAACATGGTTTTCTTCAGGACCAATCCCAAGACGTTCTCTATCATATAAAATGTGTGTGTGCTGTGTTGAAGCCCAGAGCAGAAGCACAGACCAGACTCTCCTGGACCTGGACCTGGAGCCAGACCTGCTCCAAGCTGCATGTCCTTAAAGAGTGACCGGTCTATTGCTCAACCTTTGAACTTCAAAGACGAGAAGCTTTCTCCTGAACAAAGGTGAGATAATAAGACCTTTCACCTCCCTCAAGGTCAAGACCTTTCACCTCCCTCAAGGTCAAGACCTTTCACCTCCCTCAAGATCAAGACCTTTCACCTCCCTCAAGATCAAGACCTTTCACCTCCCTCAAGATCACCTTACAGAGAAAAAAAATGAAAACACGAACAGAAGCAGTAAGAAGGGCGTGGTCAGGCTGAGTAAAGGTGTTCTGAGCTGTGATTTGAAGGTGGGGAGAGAGTTCCAGAGACGGGGGTCTGCTCCCCTAAAGGCTCGAGACCCCGTTGATGATAGGCGGGCAGGAGGTGTGGTGAGGAGCATGGAGGAGGCAGAACAGGGGGTCAGAGAGGGTCCGAGAGGGTCCGAGAGGGTCTGAGAGGGTCTGAGAGGGTCCAAGAGGGTCAGAGAGGGTCTGAGAGGGTCCGAGAGGGTCAGAGAGGGTCCGAGAGGGTCAGAGAGGGTCTGAGAGGGTCTGAGAGGGTCCAAGAGGGTCAGAGAGGGTCTGAGAGGGTCCGAGAGTGTCTGAGAGGGTCCGAGAGGGTCAGAGAGGGTCTGAGAGGGTCTGAGAGGGTCCAAGAGGGTCCGAGAGGGTCAGAGAGGGTCCGAGAGGGTCCGAGAGTGTCTGAGAGGGTCTGAAAGGGGGTGTAGGCGTGAAGGAGATCAGAAAGGTACGGAGGAGCGAGGTTATGGAGAGCCTTGAAGGTGAGGAGGAGAATCTTAAAGCGATATCTGACAGGGAGCCAGTGGACCGGAGTGATGTGGTCTATGGAGGGGGTTCTGGTGATGATCCCGACCAGTTGGAGTTCATGGAGGAGCTTGAGAGGTAGACCAGAGAGGTTGCAGTAGTCTGTACAGGAGGTGGGCAGGGTATTAGCATGGAGGGCGGTGCAGTTTGGTGTTAATCTTCTCTGAGGCTCAAACAGAGTTTTGATTTCAGAAACAAGTTTTGATTTTTCATTTAATGTTAAAAAGAAACTTGTTGCCTGTCTTAGACTCTGGAGATGTTTTGTACATGCTCTGCTCAGTGTCTCCATGTAGTTGATGCAGCCTACAAGGCATCCTCCAGGTTCATTACCAACTGTAAAGCTCTGACTCATTGTGAGTCGTTCTCTCGGGTAGGATGGCGTGCTCTGGTGCCCTGTAGGCTCTAACACTGGTACACCTTAGGGTAACTCTTGATCTACTTCCTCACTGTCTCTGTGTTTTTAATCACACAGAAAAGTACCTCAGTGTATTGTTTGTGTTCTCAGGACCTCTTTATGCTCTCTATCTCAAACGCTCGGACTGAAAGTGGTAAAGGTCTTTTGGGTATGCTGCACCCTCAGCCTGGAATCTGTTTCAGAATTACTTTAAACTCAAGGAGCTGGTGTCTTGAAATGTTTTTGAATCTAAATGAAAGACCTGAAAGCAGGTTTTACAGGATGTGGATGTTTTTAGCTCGACTGCTTGGGTTGCAAGTTGCCGTACGCACCCCATGTACAGAGGCTGTAGTCCTCCAGGTGGGCAGCCCGGGTTCAAGTCTGTCCTGTGGCTTCTTTCCCACATTCCCTACTCTCTTTCCCAGATTTCTGACTCTATCCATCTTTCTCTAAATAAAGGCATAAAAAATTCAAACATGAACCTTAAAAATCAACAACTACTAACTCCCAGATTTGGCTCATTGATGGTTTTATGCATTTTTAATGTTTTGTAAATTCTACTTTGTCTCTCTTTGTGTCTCTGCCATGTTGTGTTGTTGCTGCTGAATGTCTCAGTCAGGTCTAACCTGGTCCAATAAAGGTTGAATAAAAAAAGTATTCTGACAAACGACCTCTGTGTGTTTGTTTCTTCCACAGAGTCCATGGGCAGAACTTTAAGGTTTCCAGTGATCAGACTAACCTGGACTCTATCTTTGTGGTGTGCAAATGCACAAACACAGCTACCATCCCTTGTTGAACCAGCCAAAATTCAATTTCTGAACTATGTTTGTGATTCAGTCTCTGTGGGCTTTTGGTCTGTCACAGATGATCTGATGCTGTTACTCTTAACTCTGTTCAGCTGCTTGAGGAGAATATTTTGAGTTTTGTAAAGAAAGAGCTTAAGGAGAGCCCAAGCGTTCTGAGTCGTGAGTACCCTGAATGCTTAAAGGAGGAGGAAGATGTGCTGGAAGGTAAAGAGGAGCCGCACAGGAGGAGCAGCAGAGAGGCTTTTCTGAAGATCACTCTGCACTTCCTGAGGAGAATAAAGCAGGAGGAGCTGGCTGACTGTCTGCAGAGCAGTAAGATGATTTTATCAAATTTAACATGATAAAGAAAAAGAAATGGTGGAGAATACAAAGCCCCCCCCCCCACACACACACACACACACACACATTCTGTTTATGAGCAGTGCATTTACTTTATTAAGGTGAGTCAGTGGGTAGAGTCGTCATCTCCCAACCAGAAGGTCGAGGGTTCAATCCCCAGCCCTTGGGCAAGACACATAACCTTGAATTACTCCCGCTACTTCGGCGGTGGTGTATGAATGGATGAGTTAATACTGATGGACTCTTTACTCAGCGGCCTCTACCATCAGCGTGTGAGTGTGTGTGAATGGATGAGTTAATACTGATGGACCTTTTACGCTGCAGCCTCTACCATCAGGGTGTGAATGTGTATGAATGGATGAGTTAATACTGATGGACTTTTTACGCTGCAGCCTCTACCATCAGTGTGTGAATGTGTATGAATGGATGAGTTAATACTGATGGACTTTTTACGCTGCAGCCTCTACCATCAGCGTGTGAATGTGTGTGAATGGATGAGTTAATACTGATGGACTTTTTACGCTGCAGCCTCTACCATCAGTGTGTGTTTGTGTGTGAATGGATGAGTTAATACTGATGGACTTTTTACGCTGCATCCTCTACCATCAGTGTGTGTTTGTGTGTGAATGGATGAGTTAATACTGATGGACTTTTTACTCAGCGGCCTCTACCATCAGTGTGTGAATGTGTGTGAATGGATGAGTTAATACTGATGGACTCTTTACTCAGCGGCCTCTACCATCAGTGTGTGAATGTGTGTGAATGGATGAGTTAATACTGATGGACTCTTTACACTGCAGCCTCTACCATCAGCGTGTGAATGTGTGAGTTAATACTGATGGACTCTTTACTCAGCAGCCTCTACCATCAGCGTGTGAGTGTGTATGAATGGATGAGTTAATACTGATGGACTCTTTACTCAGCGGCCTCTACCATCAGTGTGTGTTTGTGTATGAATGGATGAGTTAATACTGATGGACTCTTTACTCAGCGGCCTCTACCATCAGCGTGTGAATGTGTATGAATGGATGAGTTAATACTGATGGACTCTTTACACTGCAACCTCTACCATCAGCGTGTGAATGGATGAGTTAATACTGATGGACTCTTTACTCAGCAGCCTCTACCATCAGTGTGTGAGTGTGTATGAATGGATGAGTTAATACTGATGGACTCTTTACACTGCAGCCTCTACCATGTAGCAAGTTGACATGTGGGTTGACATTGATATTCTTTTTTACTAATATTGTAAAAAAACATCAACAACAACATGTTTTTGTTTATTAATTCAGGAACTGTTGCTGCAAAGTGCCGCCATAAACTGAAGTCTAATCTAAAGGAGAAGTTCCAGTGTGTGTTTGAGGGGATTGCTAAAGCAGGAAACCCAACCCTTCTGAAGCAGCTACACAGAGCTCTACATCACAGAGGGAGGGACTGGAGAGGTCAATGATGAACACGAGGTCAGACAGATTAAAACAACATCCAGGAAACCACACAGACCAGAAACAACCATCAGAGAAGAAGACATCTTTAAAGCCTCACCTGGAAGAGATGAACCAATAAGAAGAGTGATGACAAAGGGAGTGGCTGGCATCGGGAAAACAGTCTTAACACAGAAGTTCACTCTGGACTGGGCTGAAGATAAAGCCAACCAGGACATACAGTTCACATTTCCATTCACTTTCAGAGAGCTGAATGTGCTGAAAGAGAAAAAGTTCAGCTTGGTGGAACTTGTTCAATTCAATTCAATTAAATTTATTTTGTATAGCATCAACCAACGAGTTGGGGGGGGGGTTGTTCTGGCAGGCCGTCAACCAACGATCTTGAGGAGCCTAAGAGAGCTCAAGAGCTCTCAGGAAAGTAGGTGGTTAGTGACTGAGATTTACAGATAGAGACATGCAGTAATATGATGTACTGTATATGCACAGAGAGAGAGAGAGAGAGAGAGAGAGAGAGAGAGAGGTGCCAGTTCCCCCGGTAGTCTAAGCCTATAGCAGCATAACTAAGAGCTGGTCTGCACCAGCACTAACTATAAGATTTATCAAAAAAGTTTTAAGTCTATTCTTGAAAATACAGACTGTGTCTGCCTCCCGGACCCCGGCTGGAAAGCGGTTCCAGAGGAGAGGAGCCCGATAGCTGAAGGCTTTACCTCCCATAGTACACTTAGAGACTGTAGGTACCACCAGCAGGCCTGCACTCCGGGACCGCAACGCTCTCGAGGGGCAGTACGGCACTAGTAGCTCCTTAAGATAAGATGGTGCCTGGCCATTTAGCGCTTTGTAGGTGAGAAGAAGGATCTTGAATTCTATTCTAGACTGTATAGGGAGCCAGTGCAGAGAAGCCAGGACAGGAGTGATGTGGTCCCATTTCCTGGTTCTGGTCAGTACACGAGCTGCAGTGTTCTGGACCAGTTGAAGAGTCTTTAGAGATTTGCCAGAGCACCCTGACAAAAGAGAGTTACAATAATCCAGTCTGGAGGTAACAAATGCATGAACTAGTTTTTCTGCATCATTTTGCAACAGGATATTCCTGATCTTGGATATATTACGAAGGTGAAAATAGGCTGTTCTTGAAACTTGACTGATGTGAGAGCTAAAAGACATATCTTGATCAAATAGAACTCCTAGATTCCTAACAGTGGTGCTAGATGCCAGGCTGATGTCACTAAGGACAGTCAAATCACTAGAAAAAGTCTCTCTGAGGTTTTTAGGGCCTAGCACAATAACTTCAGTCTTGTCTGAGTTAAGTAGCAAAATATTTCTGGTCATCCAGGTCCTAACGTCCTTAAGGCACGTTTCTAGCTGACATAACTGACTGGTGCCATCGGGCTTCATTGATACATAAAGCTGAGTATCATCTGCATAACAATGAAACTGTATGGAGTGTTTCCTCATAATATTTCCCAGAGGAAGCATATATAATGTAAAGAGAATTGGTCCAAGCACTGAACCTTGTGGGACTCCATGGCAAACTTTAGTGTGCATAGAGGACTCATCATTAACATGTACAAACTGAGATCGGTCTGATAAGTAGGATTCAAACCAACTTAAAGCAGTCCCTGTAATTCCAAACAAATGCTCCAGTCTGTACAACAGGATCCGATGGTCAATGGTGTCAAAAGCAGCACTAAGATCTAACAAGGCGAGCACAGAGAGAAGTCCCCTGTCTGAAGCTAGAAGTAGATCGTTTGTAACTCTAACTAGTGCAGTCTCAGTGCTATGGTGGACTCCTGACTGAAACTCCTCAAATAAACTGTTGTCATGGAGAAAGTCACACAGCTGATTAGCTACCACCTTCTCCAGGATCTTTGAGATAAAAGGAAGGTTGGATATAGGCCTGTAGTTAGCCAGAGTTCCTGTATCTAGAGTAGGCTTTTTAAGTAGAGGTTTGATTACCGCTACTTTAAATGCCTGGGGTACATAGCCTGCCAGTAAAGACATATTGATCATATCTAATAAAGAGTTGCTGACTAAGGGAAAGACTTCCTTAAACAGCTTGGTTGGGATTGGGTCTAAAAGACAGGTTGACGGTTTTGACGCAGAAAAAATGGAATATAGCTCTGAAAGGTCGATTGGAGAAAAACAGTCTAGACTAATATCTTGTCCTGGAACTGTCTCTGCCGTATCAGACGTATCCGCACCAGGTAAGGACAGGAGGTTACCAATTTTGTCTCTGATGTCTAGAATTTTGTTGTTGAAAAAGCTCAGGAAGTCATTACTGCTGAGGGCTAAAGGAATACAAGGCTCAATGGAGCCATGACTCTCTGTCAGCCTGGCTACAGTGCGGAAAAGGTATCTAGGATTGCCTTTGTTTTCCTCCACTTGTTCATCACTTCTTTACTGAAACCAAAGAAGCAGGAATCTGCAGGTTTGAAGAGTTCCAGGTTGTGTTCATCTTTGACGGTCTGGATGAGTGTCGACTTCCTCTGGACTTTAAAAACAACCAGACCCTGACTGATGTCACAGAGTCCACCTCAGTGGATGTGCTGCTGACAAACCTCATCAGGAGGAAACTGCTTCCCTCTGCTCGTCTCTGGATAACCACACGACCTGCAGCAGCCAATCAGATTCCTCCTGAGTGTGTTGACATGGTGACAGAAGTCAGAGGGTTCACTGACCCACAGAAGGAAGAGTACTTCTGGAAGAGGTTCAGAGATGAGGAGCAGGCCAACAGAATCATCTCCCACCTCAAGACATCCAGAAGCCTCCACATCATGTGCCACATCCCAGTCTTCTGCTGGATCACTGCTACAGTTCTGGAGGATGTGCTAAAGACCAGAGAGGGAGGAGAGCTGCCCAAGACCCTGACGGAGATGTACATCCACTTCCTGGTGGTTCTGTCCAAACTGAACATCAAGTATGATGGAGGAGCTGAGATCCTGAACAGAGCAAAAAACACCTGAACAGAGCAAAAAACATTGTAAAGGACGGCTTACACCCCGGCTTTCATCTGTTCGACATGTTGCCCTCTGGCAGACGCTACAGGTCTGTCAGAGCACGGACAAACAGACTCAAGGACAGCTTCTTCCTCAGAACCATAACCACACTGAACCTGGACATGCGTTGACTGTCTCACCCTCACCAGATACTGTGCAATATTTAGTTTATATTTCTGCAATAATTTTACATTTCATACTGTACAATATTTATCTTATTTTATATTTCTGCAATAATTTTACATTTAATACTGTGATATATTTATTTTAATATTTCTGCAATAGTTTACATTTCATACTGTGCAATATTTATTTTATATTTCTGCAGTATCTATTTATATTCTGTTATGCTACCACCTGTAAATAACTCCTACCATACATTGCCCATTGTTGGGGTTGTATCAAGTCAACTTTGGTTATATTCTTTAATAATTATACTTAATTATTAATAATATAAATAAAATATCATTAAACTATGTTTAATCTCGTTTTGGGGCACCAACCTGTAATCAGGTAAATATAACCAAAATATCACTCAAATCAGTCTCAAATTAGTTATTTAATTACTAATATTATTAATAATGAATAACTATATTTAATAAATTGAAGGCGTGAAATCCGTACACAAAGCCTTCTCAGCTTATATCACAATGCAAATACACCAGTAACCACAAACAACTGCTCTCTTAAATTATAACAGAATTTATTTAAACAAAGCAACATCAATCCAAAATCAATGAACTTAATTAAACAAATAACTATTATAAACTAATCTAAGCAACAAATATTATCAAGCAAAGGCTTGTGGAAGGGGTGTGAATGTGTGTGTGTGTGTGTGTGTGAGAGAGAGAGAGAGAGAGAGAGAGAGAGGGAAGAAGAAAGGGGGGAGATGGCTTCGTACCCACGTGGTCGTTCACGATGGCGCAAACCTAACAAAGACCTGGGTGCGTGCACGTGTGGATGAAAGGGAGAGAGAAGGGGGGGAAGATTACTTCGTCCCACGTGGTTGCCCTTCCGATGGCACACACCTAACAGAGACCTAAATGTGGCCTTAAGGTCTAAAAGAGACCGAGTTCGGCCCTACACGGTCTGTGTCTCTGAGGCGTCTGGATAGCCGCGAGTGTATAGATCTCTGTGCGTAATGGCGCGGTGGTGGAGTTGGTCTACAGATGTACGTTTACACAGGAATGTGTGTGTGTGTGTGTGTGTTCGTAGAAGGGGAAATAAAAGAGAATAAAAGAGAAATGCGTGCCTGAAGAGGCCGAATCACAGTCCGACTCCCACGCCACAACTCGGAGTAATTCCCTTCATTCACAGAAACAAACCAATAGCCGAATTCAGGTTAATACGGCTTACACTGGCCTTTCTGATCAGAAGAGTAATACCCAGTTATAACGCTGTTACACTAAACACATATAGGACGCAGCGGTCCGAAACAACAACAAGAGTTTTAAACAGTTAAAACTCAGGACGCAGGTCCAACAAAGATAAAAATTACAGTTTCTGCTTCGATCAACAATTGTTAAAAACACTCTCTAAAGCTAATTCTGCCCAGACCTAATTAAGCCTCACTTGTGAATCGCTTTGTCCACGATTGGTGAAAGGAAAAGAGTCCGGCAATGGAGCAGATCTTCTGTCCGTCCTGGTGCAGAGGCGTCTGATGGCGGCGAGGGTCCCTTACGGCGAGAGCGGCTTCGTTGGTTCTCCGTCGAGTGGAAAGATGTCCTTTTGATGTCCTTTCGTTGCAGGACGGAATAAGACCGTTATCTTTCTGATAATCTGTTATAGTCTGACACTCTCCGAGAAACTGAGATGCGTTCACTGGACAATCCGAGCTCGGAATTTAGAACACTGCCGGCTGCGGATTACCTGCGCGCCAAAACGTAAAACAAAGGAAGATTGTTGCAGGAAACAGGAGATAAGCTTGGACCTCCGAGCATCAGAAGTCACCGCGTGGAAAGAGGTCGAGCAATGGAA